GAATGCTGGTTTCCTCCATCACTGAGGCAAGCAAGCCTCATGTTAGTTTCAAGCTGCCTGGCTGCCGGCCGCCATCTTGGCTGTCAGTTAATTTGCATATCTCCCTGATTAGCCAATGGGAAGGGTAGCGGTCGTACGCCAATTACCATGTTTCTCTTTTATTAGTGTAGATAATTATGTGAAAAAACAACCTATGCATAGGTAAATCACATTTGAAAAAAGTGCACCAAGACAGAAAACTTGCCTTATTAGTTATTAAAGCAATAAACTAATCTGAGCAGAATTGAGAACTCAAAAACACAAACACATACATATGAGCTTAATATCCTATAAACTTGCCAACCTAAATCAATGAGAAACACTGAATCAATCAATCAATCAATTAAAAACAAGTTTAGCATGGACTGAATACATTAGAAATTATGAAGAATTTGACGAGGATGATAGAAATGAAAATGGTGAAATGGACTCAAATTTGGATAAAATATTTTAGAGATTGCCAACAAGACTTATTGATGGATTGGATATTAGAGTTGGGAGGTGAAAGAATGGCAGCCTAGTGAACAAGAAATTGATGGTGCAAGAAAGAGAGAATGTCGGTAGGAGGAAAATGCTTGAACAGGTAGAGTACCTTATTCTGAGAGGGAGTATCAAGGCTAATTTTTGATGGGAGGAATCTGATCAGAAAAAGTGGGTAGATTTTTCTCTTTTACAGTGGAGAGAGAAATAACAAAAACAAACACAGTGTAATTGCATGAATCCATTCAAACACTGAAAATAAAATCTAGACAGATGGCCAAACATTAATTGTCTTAATTTATAAGTAAGTAGTTTCCTAGAGAGCAAAACATGTAATCTTAAGAACTTTACTAGAGGTAAAAATTCTAACTCAGGCATAAAACGTTAACATTCTTAAAATTCTGTAATTTTATTTCTCAATAATTCTATTTGATGAAAATTCAGTAAATTTGTGTCTACAAATGAAAACATCTCACTTGTAATATTTTTTAAATAGTAGGTTTGTTAAGATTGGGATGTGTGTGTGTCATTTTTTGTCATTGCTTGTATTTTGCATTTTTAAACACCACTGATGTACCAGTTTTTCATAAAGGAAAAAGAGGAGAAGGAAGAGAATAAATCTTACAGAATGAGTCACTCTCTAAATGTGACAAACAAAGGTAGATTTGATTGTTACGAGTAAGATGTTCTGACCCCCAGTGATTTTTTAGAATACAGAAGCAGGTCCTTTGTGCTCAGAAAAAGGATTTCAAATTGACTGAGTGGTGATTGTGTTATTGTTTTAAAAGTGAGACTGGCTGAGCCCAGCAAAGAATCTGACTAGACTTTCTGCGGAGGCCGAGGTTCTCAGACATTCTTAAGTAACACTGACAAGGAAGATGGTAGCTTAGCTAGAGTAGGGATGTTAAAGTAATCTGGGTGTGTCTGCCCTGACTGATCATTTCCATTACTTGTTACACACAAGAGGAAGAAGAGGAAGAAGATATTGGAGAAGAAGCTAAATAGAAGACCTGGAGTGGTGTGAGTAGTTGTCAGGTTACCTGCAATAAGCCCCGCTTGTCAATAATTTATTGTGAGACATTTGTAGGTTAGAAATTTTCTTCAATCTGGATGTAGAATTTTTATTCTTTTGTATGAATAAAATATTTTGTATACATTAAAAATATAAAGTGAAATGGTTGTATGTTAGGTTGTATTTGTGCAGCTTCTTTCATTTTATATCATTTTTTATTTTTTTTAAAGTTTTGTTTTGTTTTTTACCACTGAACACTTTCTTTTCTCAAACAACTATTGGCCTACATCCCAATCTGGAGATTAGATAAAGACAAACAACTCGAGTTAAATTGGAACTCTTCAGGTATTGGAAAAGACAGGCAATAGGAAGTAAAAGAAGAAAAGCAAAAGGAAATAAAATGAATCAAATGCCTGCTAGCACATGTTAAACACTGTAGCTGGCTTTTTAAACTTGGTTTCTCATTTGGTCCCACATTCCATTTCAAAGACGAAATAAATGAGACTGAGAAAGACATAAATGGTCCAAGTGACAACAACAATAAATAAGAGCTCTGAGATTTGAATTGAGTTGTACAGTCCCATGAAGGCTCTTGTTGGAGCTAATACAGAACAGGAGGAATGAGAAGGGACTATGGAGGCAGGCGTCACACTGACTTACTCCTCCTTTCAGTATCTGTCAGGTGCCCAAAATGTTTGCAGAGTTGGGTCATGGGTTGGGCCTACGGACTAGCTGTACTGGCTGTAGAGCCCATCCACGGACTAAACCATGTTCCCTCCTTTCTCAGTTGGCTTCACAACAGGTATGCCAGTAAGTAGGAAATAAATAATTCTACATAGAGTAAAACATAATCTTGAAAGCAAATATGGCAAATTGACTCCAAATAGTCTCTTACCTTTGCGGGGGCAGTGGCTCCAGTGGCTCTTGCTAAATGCGTGGCCCTTTTCTGGGTTTTGGCTTCATTTTCCCTGGAAGAGAGCAAGAAATAGCATAGCTTAGACATACCTGCCCAACTTTTAAGGATAACAGCATACATGGTGAACTTAATTCTGACTGTTCTCCTCAACCCAGTCTGGCAGATCCAGAAATGAGCAGAGGTACCATAAATCTCTTCTCAGTACTGAAAAGTATCTCAAACGTGGTTCTATTGGTGGCAAGAATCTATGCGTTTAAATGCACAGCAGATTATTCTCCCCTTAAATACTTCCAACATCCAGGTGGTTAACAACTTTAAAGACGTCTGTACCATTGTTCGAAAGCTCTCTTTGAAAAACCGTATTATTGACTGAGTACTATTCCACTGTGTAACTGTACCATAGCTTTTTTAAAAAATAAAATATTTTATTGATTTTTTTACAGAGAAGAAGAGAGAGAGAGAGAGTTAGAAACATCGATCAGCTGCCTCCTGCACACTCCCTACTGGGGATGTGCCCACAACCAAGGTACATGCCCATGGCTGGAATTGACTCTGAGACCCTTCAGTCTGCAGGCTGATGCTCTATCCAATGAGCCACACCAGCCAGGGCAAGTACCACAGCTTTTTTATCCACTCATCTACTGATGGGCACTTGGGATGCTTCCAAATCTTGACTATTGTTAATACTGCTGCAGTGAACATAAGGGTGCTTATATTCTTTTAAATTAGTAGGAAATCCTACCTGTTGCAACAGCATGGATGGACCTGAAGAGTATTATGCTAAGTGAAATAAACTGGTCGAAGAAAAACAAATACCAGATGATTTCACTTACATGTGGAATCTAATGAACAAAGTAAGCTAACAAATAGAAGACACATAGATGTTGGAGGGGAAGGGTAGGGGGGAACTGGGTAAAAAAAGGTAAATGGATTGAGGAAAAAAACCTTATAGACAGACAATAGTGTGGTCATTACCAGAGGAAAATGGAGGTGGGGGGAGGTAGAAGAGTTATGGTAAAGGGGGAATAAATGGTGATGGAAGGAGATTTGACTTAGGGTGGTGAATATAAACACAATATACACAGGATGTATTATAAAAGTGTATGCCTTAAACTTATATAATTTTATTAACCAATATCACCCCAATAAATTCAATTTTTTAAAAAAGGGGAAAAAAAAGAAAAAGAAAGACCACATTCTTAACGTGTAAAAATCTGCCTTCCTGTTTTGGACCCAGTTCCAACCTCTGAGGACCCAGAGACAACTTTAGAAATTTGAAGATAGTATTTATGCCTCATACAGTCTCCTTCTTTCCAGGTTAAAAAAATTTATTCCAACTCATTTATATAGGTAATAAATATAATAATGGGGTGAGTGGCTTCAAAGTGATAAACTGCCTTATGTGTCTTAAGGCAATTTATATTTGTTTTAAATTAGTTTTCAGTAAACTTATTATTTCATAGTATTGGTCTACTATCAAAACATCCAATGAAACAAGAAAGAAACTTTATGGTAAATAATAGACTTCCTGGTTTACATTCAGCTTCCAAGAGAATAAGAAAGGATTCTTCAATCTTCCTTGGGCCTCACCCCACTCTACATCTTGCCCTGCCTTCCCTCATCTTCCCACAGTCTCTTCTTTAGACTTCATTATGTGAAGTGACCAGAACTTCATTATGTCAATATTATTGACTATGTCAAATTAAATCCCTTGACACATACCAGACTGGCATTTAAAAAGCTAATTATCTTAAACAGGTAAGCTCAGTTATTGGCTTGATACCCGTGTTGAAGTTTGGATGTTGGTCAGAAATTGAGAATGACCTCCCTGTTCAAAAACAAATGAGGACACTTTGATTTGAGGTTTTGCAATGGATAGCTCAAGCCATCTTCTACTTCTGAGTTGTCACCGGAGAGAAGGAAGTCAAGTTAAGAAGCATTGCATAGATGTTGGTTAACTTCCTGGATACTAATTCTTTCTGAATTGCAGGTAATTGCAAGATATAATTAACTTTTTAATCCATCTCATTTTAGCATAATCCCAAATGTCTGAAGACACTGGCAGGTCACAGAGTCAGGGTGTATCCTGCTTAAATTCTTCTCCTGGTTGGCTGCCACAAGAAAAGTGTGACATCATTCCCAAGGGGCTTTCCGTCCCTAAGGTACAATAGGATCAGGTCTTAACAGGCCCACGGAATCTGACTTTTTTTCTTAAATTAATTTTTCAGAGCCAAGAAACTCAAATTGGAATTACATCCTCAAAAGATTATTACATTTTACACAAGGTATTCATGCTGGGCCCTCTGGGTGTTTTGGAATACCATGTGTTTGATGATTCAGCCTTTCCAGGTGGGTGGCATTTACCCAACTTTATCTGATGAGAGATGCCAGAGTGATCTACAAACTATTTTTATTTAACCATTTAGATTTAGAAAGACATATTTGCCAAGAAATAAAAAGAATATGCCCTGACCGGTTTGGAAAAAGAATACATTTACTAGTTCAGAGATCAGCCGGTAACTCAAACACCTGGAAGAGAACCTTTACTCACAGTATCATTTTGCATGTGGCGCATTTGTTGAGGAACATTATTCCGTCAGGGCTCTGAAGAAGTTTTTTATCCTGGGAACAGAACAGCTTCCCATTTTTCATCAATACCCGAAATTCACTGCACGCATCCTAAGGGAAAGATGAAAAAAGTTGTGTTTACTGAAACCTTATCAAAGTAAGACCTTCTAAGAAAAACTTCCTTGAACGATATTACTTAATAACCACCACCCCTTTTATATAGAAGACATTCACTCAGTTGTTATAAATAATACAAACAAAAACAGTGACTCTGTATATTGTATAATGTCTATTGGAGATGCAAATTCACCTAATAAGCATTCATCTAAAACAATTAGTGGAATGGAAAGAACAAGAAACTGGGAATCAAAAAACTTTATATTTCATGGTTCTCATTTACAAGTCCAGTAGCCTTAGCAAATTAAATTTCTCAAAGGCTTACTTACCCTATCAATAAAAATCAGGGATTATAAATATATACATTTCACAGGTCTTCTGAGGATGAAACATAACATGTAAAAGCCCTCAAAGAATGTCTGATGCTTATAGATATTTAATAAGTCGAATTTCTTTCCCTCCTCTTTCTCCTCCTTTATTATGATTGTTTTGTTTTTGTTGCTGTTGTCATTATTATTGGAAAATATGCTGATGGCACATATAAAACATCTAGCACACAGTGGGTCATCATGTGCTGTAAGAAGGGCTTTGAAAAGTTGCTGGAGGACTGGGACACAGTGTGTGAACTGGACACTGTGAAGAGCCTCTGACGTGTCAGCGAAGGATGTACCCAAGACTCCAACTCAAGGAAGTGTTAACAGTTGTTAAATTAAAAAGTGGAAAACAAGTTAAAAGTTGAATGAAAGGACTCCTTGGTCATATATGTTTGGAAAACGTATTTATAGACTAGCTCCTCTTCTGAAATGAAATTAACCTCAGATCCAACTAACTGACTTACTAGTAAAAGCTAACAAAGCTGCAGTTTCCAGGCCCTTCACTATCACATCCTTGGGGAGGCCTTCTTTCCAGGTTTATGTTTATTAGTTAGTTAGTTAGTTAGTTAGTTTTTTTATATTTTTTGTATATTCTCTGGAACTACTATTTTACTATTCTGTGTGATATCCTTCAAGACATGGAGTGCTATGCTTGGTTTTGGCTTTCTTTTTGTTAAATGCAGACGGCAGCACTGTGCCAACTTTAGGGAGGAGAGGGGAAATCACTCTGAATAATATTTTACCAGGTACTGCAAATGTACCATTAATTTTAAGCTCCTAAAAAGACTGAGTGACATACAGTTCTCCAATAAAATACATTGAATTAAGAAATGCATGAAAAGAAAGAACCCTCACTTTTAAAGATCTGTCCACTGTCCTTATTTCCACCTATTCTATTATTTAAAATGCTTTCTAATCCCTATTAGTTTTGCAAATCCACTGGCTCTTTAGAGCAAGTCTTTAAAATCTAATTTTTTCCTTTGCAAAAGAAATAAAATCTTGCTTTGAGATGCTTGCATCAGAAAAAAAATTAAATCGAGTCTTAGCTCCAACTCCAACAATACAACCTCTTCCAAAGGATTAAGTATGGAATTCTTTTCAGCTTCCTATATCTTTACAATAATTATTCAATCAATCAATAAACACTTATGAAATTGCTTTGCCAGGTACCATAGATATAACAGTATATAGAGAAATCCTTGTTTACATGTTGGTTACCACCTAGTGGGTAATGATGTATTTAACCTAGCCTCTTAAACATAGAGGCAGTTGAAAAATGATTAATGGTGAAAAAAAATGGTAACTAAATAATGTAAGAGACCAGCCCTGTGAAATTTTGCGAAGGACAACCTACTGAAATATCTCTAAATTTATGGTCACCACCCAGTGATCTTATCTGAGTAGCACAGTAATAATTTCTGACAATAGACTGACATGTGGGCCTCTGAGATCTGTGTCTGGTCTTTAATTTTATAGTATCTTATGCCAAGCATTGCAAGTTACTGCTTAGCATGCCAGATATAAATGATTCTATAAAATCTAAGTAGAAACTTTGTCATAGAATCAGAGAAGACCCTGGTGTCTTTGTAATAGAAATACATCCCTTATAGTCTTGGCCGGATAGCTTAGAGCATTGCCCCCATACACCAAGGTTTGAATTTGATTCCCCATCAGGGCACATACAAAAAGCAACCAATGAATGCATAAATAAGTGGAACAGCTAATAAATGCTTCGCTCTCTCTTCCAAAAAGATCAATCAACCAACAATAATAATAAAAGAATACATCCCTTGTGAGGTAGGTCTTAAAGTATTTAAAACAAGATTCATGATAACACTGGAATAAAGCTTTAAGTAGTTTTTAGCAATTAATTGAATAAGAACATTGTCAATCAGGATATTCCCGAATCAGACTTCTCTAATGTCAAAATTAGATGAGCCCCTAATTCCTACAAAGACACACTCTTTTTTCTTTTTCTTTTTTTCTTTTCAAATGAACAACTCGGGCCTAGAAAACAGGTTAAAAAACTTGTTCACAATGTTTAACTAGTTAAGATGAGATTCAACACTATCTTCAATGAAACAGAAAAAGGCTGTAAAAATTGAAAGCAATGGTTGGGTTTTTCTTTGGGGAAAATATAATATATTCCCAATTACCATAATAAAGAGGGTTTTGAAATAGGAGCCAATCGAGACCAAAAAGGCATGGGGAGGTGGGGGGGGTGGGGGGATGTGAAATCCCAGCACCTGTTTACTTGCAGTCTCACTTGCAGGCTTTGGCCGCTTTGTTTGGTTATTGTTGCTCTTGTTTGTGTTTTCCCCAAAGCCCAGGAAAACTGGAGCCCTCGAGGGCCAAGCTCTTTCTGTTTCTGTCAGTGGCTGCTTTACAGTCCATTGTCTTCCATCGTCCCTCCCCAGACATCATAATAAAATGTCCCAGGGAGTTGGCATTATTCCTTGTCTGTGTTAGAGCACGAACAAGGTTGCTTTGGCTTTAAAATGACCCTCTGTGATGACAAATATAAGCACATGCTAGAGATCCTTGCAGTTACTGCAGGACTTTTCCATGCTGCTCTGGCTCATGTTTATAACTTCCAACAAGTTACTGACTGAGCTTGAAAAATAAAATTCCCAGGACCGCAAGAAACACTAAATCAATAGTTTTCATTTCTGACAAAATATCCAAGGACTGTGGTCAGAAACATTTCCAGAGAAATAATTACTTCTTGGTGTTTTTCTTGCTTATTCCAACATGAGAGGTGGCTAACTTTAGGTTTTTGATGTTTTAGTGAAATGGAGTTTAAAGCCATAAAAAGTATCAGTGCAGAATTGGATATATCCACTGGAAATCATCGCCCATTATCATAAACTCTAAAAACAACTTATGGCTTCCTGAAAAATGAAGTTTGCACAATACCTTTCTTTTTACCACTATGCAACATCCCAGTGAGCAAGCTTTTTAATTTCCCCAAATACAGCCTTTTCCTTTTCTACTCTACCATACCACTCTATTTAAACTATAAAGGTTTCTCCACTTCTCCTTGACCGGCAAACAGATGAAATACTAGATTATGATGAAATTCTCTAGAACATTCCAGGAAAAAATTTCTTTTAAAAAATTGTTATAATAAAATATAGCAAGAGAGTATTTTACCATGTTTCTAATAGTTTCATAGTAGAAAGGGGTTGTTTTACTGTTTTAGTATCTTAATATTTATGACTTTTGGGAGATGTAGCAAATATTTGCTATATACATAGCACTGTTTTAAAAAAAGAATTAATGGCACAGTTGTGTGTGTGTGGGGTGTGTGTGTGTGTGTGTGTGTGTGTGTGCATGTAACTGGCCCTTTTAAATTTTTTTCCAGATATATAAAATGATTAACTTCTATAGAAAACAATTCTTTTAGCTCTCAAACAAAAGGCCTTTAAGAAAGAGGTAGTAAAGAGGGCCTTTGCCATCACGAATGCTTCTGGCTGGTCTGCTTTAAATTGAAAAAAACATCTTCATGACCTTCCCCACCACCTTTAGACCCCTGTTCTATTGTTAGCTTCAGGGAGAACTTACCTGACTGTCCCAAAAAGAACTAACACCACTTCCATCCCCAGAAATTCATATCTTCCATCCTCCTGTATTTTTCTCCTAACACTAATCTTTATTAATGTACTATATGTATTTACTAATTTACTAATTGATTTGTCTGTTTTCCTCCACTGAGATGTAAGCTCCATGACAGAATGGTTCTTGTCTTTCTCCTTTACTTTTTAATATTTCCAGCATCTCAAACAAGGTCTGATTCATAATACATGCTCAATAAATATTTATTGAATGAAGTAGGTACACTGACATTATATAAGATATAGCCAACCCCTTTTTAACATAATAATTACAAGAAAACTAATTTCTGCTTCCTGTGTGTGTTTAAGCTGTTAAACAGAACAATACTAATTCACTGGTGTGTTTGTGGAATTTTAAAGCACTCCTATAGCATGGTAGATCCCCTCTTGCTCACACCCATTATTATTAATACAGTGATATGTGTGTGTCTGAGATTCATGCCTTAATTCATTTAGACCTGTTTCTGTGTTTTTAGCAAAAGCTATTAGCCCCTATCAGTATAATGTGTCTGCATTATTAACATCAAGGTGTTGGCCAGGAAACATTTTTCTTTAGAGATCTTGGAATGAATTCAATGAACAGAAAAAGCAGGACTAACCTGATTTTCATTCATACTGGCAGCATCTGGAACACAAAAACACACAAAAAAACAAAGTTAAAGGGATCTAAAATATTTAATAAGTAAAAGAAAAAATTTGATCAGTGCAGTTCCTTATTCACTTTACTGGAAATATGTTAGAAAACCACAGATTATTTTTGAACACATTGAAATGAAATGAGGGAATGGCCACAGGAGATCAGTGTATACACTCAGAAAGGTCCAATTACTTTAGAAAATAATAATTATATGTTTCCTGACCCCCTCAAAATATCTAATTTCGAAAATCCTTTCATTAGCAGAGTATTTCAGACCTCTTTTAAAATTATAGCCTAAATATCAATTATATCATAACAATTACAATTTGAAAGTATAATGTAGCAGAAAGTTTAGATCATATATACACATAAAATTAAATTTTCTGAATTCTGGTTACATTGCATCCTTATGACAGCTACAAAATTAGAGATATGATAAAAATTAAGTTTAATTAAAATCAAAGACTATAATATACTCCATCAATATGAGACACCTTTTAGCACCAACACATTTATCCTAGAAAAGTGGGCATTATTTGTGCATAATGTTTAAAACTCCATCTAGGGTTTCCTTTTAAACCATGTAAATGCTTCACAGCAAGATAGCTCTAAGCAATCTGTGTTCCCTCCAAGTTCAAGTAGCAAATGCAGAAACGTACGTCTGAGCTCCCACAAAAGTCCCTTCCCCTTTATAAGAAGTGCCTTTAATCCATTTAGCACAAATAAAATATGCTAGAGGGTACTACTGCTTTAAAATAAGAATAGATGATTGATTTTAAATTTTTAATATTTTTATAAATATGCTATTAAATATATACCTATATATAAAACATACATTGAAGTTTTAAATATCTATTATATACATAATTCCTATAAGTATGAAATTGATGTGCTTGCTAAGAGGGTCATATAAAGAAGAATCCACTAGCTTTTTAGTACTAATGTAGAATTGCTGGAATGATTTCTCATGGATACAATTCAGATGATCTCAAACTCCTTGCCATTTCTAAAGATAACAACATCGGTATAAAACCACATATATAATTCTTTAAATCTCTGTGTCTGGCAAGATATTTTAGGATTACATACATTTATGTAATCTTGAATACTAAGTATGGGCAGGGGGAGGGAGACCAGTCTCTCCCCAGGGCTTTGTGGTTTGTGGCAAGAGGCTGAGATTACATGCAAATTGCTTACCTTGTATGAGGCAAAGAGCCAGGCTCAGAAGTACCTGCACCGTGGTTATCTTCATGATGAAGATGATGTAAGCTGGTTATAAGTCTGCTCCGTGCATTGCTCACCAGCTTGTGCTCGAGGACTGAACCCATGGCGATGCAGCTTACTTTATATATACCTGATGACACACACCCACCCACAACAGCCAACGTTACAAAACCAGTTGTTCAAGGTCGTGCTAGACTTAAGATACCACATCAATTTAGCTTCTTCCATCCTTTAGGATCCTGTCAAGGGAGCAGATTTGAACAGATAATGTCTGCTTCCAAAGTAGTTCTAAAAGAAGACAGATCGGTTACACTACCAGTCAGGTAAACACTGAAAGATTTCACCACATCTGGAGAAAGCTGCTTTATAGTAAGAGAAGCAAGGATTCTTGTTGCTTCCATCCACAGATGTCTCCATTCAGTGTCACATACTCGTATATAAGCTAGAGTTGAATGATCCTAAAAGATAACCCTGAAAAGTTCTAGCATTGAATACATGGGGAAACGGAAACTCAGAGGAGGAAAAATGACTTTTCCAAGGACATGCAGTTTAGGTGGAAGAGGGCAGAGGTGGGACTTAAAAGACCACAAACACCGTGGCCGGTGGCTCGGTCAGTTGATGCATCATACCTAGGTTGTGGGTCAATCCCTGGTCAAGGAGCATATGGGAGGCAACGGATTGATGATGTTTCTCTTCCTCTCTCCCTTTTTTTCTCCACCTCCCTTCCCCTCTCTCTAAAATAAATAAAAACATATCCTCAGGTGAGAATCAAAAAGAAAAGAAAGTAAAAGAAAGAAGAACACAAGTTCAGTATTTTCTCAACGCCACACACTGCTTCACCATCACAGACAGTAAAGGCAGAAACTTTGTGGAATCAAAGCTGGCACATAACTACTTCTTAAAATCCTCAATTTGAAGGATTAATTTATGTTCTAATGCTTAATTTTAGAGTTAATCACACAGTTAATTATCAGGAACATTAGAGACTCCAGGTTTAACTTTCCACACAGCCCATTACTCCCCAAGTTCCAAAGGTTGGGTTCCAGTGCCCCACAGGGTCCCACACCTATTGAAGGGAAGTTTTTAATTTTATCGGATCAAAACCTTTTTAAAGATTATTTCAGAAAAGCTAATCTAAAGCTAGCGGACTTCGGAATCACGTCAATATTCTGAATAACATCAAAGCCAAAGTATTTCCCTTTTCTATGAAATAATTCATTTCCTATTAAAATATAATCATTAGTTTCCAGGTCAGCACTATTAGCTTTGCTTATTTGCAATTGCTTAGTAAAATTAGTGACCTACAAAGCAAGTTCAAATTGCGTTACTGTTACAGGAAAGAAAATTGATACGATTTTCAATCAGTGTGCAGCCAAGAATTTTTAAAACATGCAATACATGACTATTTAGTCAGGGGCATGGGCCTCTTTCCCCTTAAATTGTAAAATAATAAAATGACAACAGCCAATATAATGATAGCTGTCCAGTGAGAATGAATCAAAATTATACTTATTTGTTAGTCAGATAGGCAAATATATAATATTTTTTGGTATGCCGCAAAATTTCAGTAATTAGTTTATGTGTGCCATGAGATGAAAAAGGTTAAAAATTGCTGACTTAATAGAAAGCTAATGGGACAGGGAGTCAGGAAATTTGTTTCTATTCCTGCTTTGCAACAACATAGAAAAATGGAAATGTAACTGACTTTGGCATATGATAGATCTGGGTCCGACTCTTGACTAGTTACATTGCCTTGGGCAAGTTGCTTATTTTTTTCTCAGCCTCAATTTTTTAATATGTAAAATGGGGATAATAAAACTACATTGTAATTTTACAACAATTCTACATTGTAATTTTACAACAATTCTACATTGTTGTAAGAGGTAGAGGTAATTCATGTGTATGTGTGAGTTTGTAATGCTTAGACTAAGTATATGTGATAAGCTATGTAGGTAAAGATAGCTGGTCCTGCATTTTATGTCATTATAATGATATGTTTGTACTAGGTAATTTCTGAGATTCTAAGAAAAGTCAACATCTCTTGAACATGGACCTTTAACAACAGATTAAGGTTTACGCATCATAGAATAACATCTCCAGCACATTCTGATATGAATTTAAAAGTCAACATGTAAGTTCTTTTTCATTTTGCTATGTTCTAAACCACACTACCAAAACTAAATCAAAGCATCAGCCATTTAAAACCTGCAAAAGTCATTTCTAGATTTTAAGCATCATTGATTCCTTATCACCAGTTATAAAAGTTTCTTCTAAATATTGACATACTAATGCTAACTTTTCATCTTTCATCTGCTGTGTCTGACTATATGAAATGTATCCCAACCACTCACACTTATTACCAGTGGTAAGAAAGTATAATGCCTTACAAAATAATTGGTGACTGTGTAATATGTTCTGATGAACCCCAAATCAAACCCAAATGGATATTCCCAGGAGTGGAGGTGGTAGTAGGGTGGAACAAAAGGACCAAAATATGATTGCATGTCTAAAGAATCTCTGCTATGAGGAAAGGCTGAACGAGTTGGTTTCCTTCTTACGGGGAAAGAGCTTCTCACTGACACCCAGAATCTTGTGAAATGATGAATAAGAGGAACTGATAACTTCTTCCAGCAGGAGAAGGTAGTCAAGAGAAGATTCAGCGAGCACTCCCAGCAATGGACGTACATATCAGCTGGCGCGTGGCATCAGGGCTTTTCCTCCACTTCATTTCAGGAATGTTGTAAATCCAGATGTGATTCACACTCTGTTAGTTACTCCTTATTTCGGGAAAGCCAAGACATTTAAATTCAAATGAATGGGACCGAGGCTTTTGAGAATGGGGGTTTGGGTTACCAGTATACTTTTATATTAGGTTATCAGAGTACTTTTTCTTAAATTCTAAATTCCATGTTTTCTTTTCAGCTCTTTTCATTATTCATCAAACATGTAAAATCCTATTTCATCTCATTAAAAAGAAATAGAGCTGTTAATAAAAAAAATATAGATTTTATGATTCAACATAGTATCGAGTGACCTAGAATCTGTATTCACATCAAGGATATTGATACAGAAGGAACAGATGAGAAAAGTATGAAGCAAACAAGATTTTGCAGGCCAATAATCTTATTGAAGACAAAGGTTATTTCCAAAAATTCGAAGTTATCAGATCACTGCTCAAATCTCCTCTTTTCCTATATAGAGATATCCTTGCTAATCATGATAGTTGAATATATAATTATAATCTCTTACCATCAAACCACCTTCCACACCTTTTCAAACTATCTGCTATTCATTAGTTCTCTTGATTTGGTTACACAATGCTGTGTGGTAGCAGAGTAGGTGTTATTATCCATTCCTTACTGGCCCAAAATGATACGATTAACAAAACCCCAAGTAGGAACTAGGTTGGATGGTAATCCCAGCTTGTCACTTTCTCACCTTTTACACCCTATGTGGTTATCTCAAAGCCTTTCTGGCAATTCAAAGAGAACCCAGACATGATGGAGCTTTAAATTACATACAGCATTCTATTGTTAATGTAGCTCTTTCCTAAAATCCTCTGCTCTCACACATACACACACACACACGCACGCACGCACATACATACATTTATACTGATTTGGTGGGGAAAGGTATGTTGTGACCATGGCTGAAAAGTATGTGTCCCAGCAGACCTTAGAAGATGAAGCAATTTCTTTTATAGTTTCTTAATTTTTAATTGTCTTTCCTATCAGTCTTGTGTTTTCCCTATTAACATGTCTCTCCTATATTCTCCTTTATGAAAGACACTAATTGGAAAACAGCCTTTACACACTTTATTACCTTGAAATCTTCAACAGCTAACTTCACTCCCTCTGAGAATTTCCTTCTGTTTGTCTAGAAAGGCTAAGAAATTATAGAGATAAGCATCTCATTTTATCTAAGAACAGATGGGATGGGCACCATTTGATCACTGAGTATACAGACCCTGCTATTTATAGATATAATTGTTGCTTTTATTAGATTAGGATTAAAAAAACACAGAAGTTTTAATGTCTAATTTTTAACTATATTAAGGTTTGTGTATTGGACTAGAGGCCTGGTGCATGAAAATTTGTGCACTGGAGAGGTGGGATTCCTCAGCCCAGCCTGCCCCCTCTTACAGTCTGGGAGGCCTCAGGGGATGTCCTACTGGCAGCTTAGCCCCACTCTGTGGGAGGCAACTGGGGTGATCAGGGGAAGGCACCAGTCCCATCACGCCGCTGCTGCTGCTGCTGCTGCTGCTGCCGCCTCCCTCTGTGGGAGTCGACTGGGCCAATCAGGGGAAGGCTCTGCCTCCCATCACCTCGCTACTGCTGACAGCTGTGGCTGCCTGCCCTCGGCCCTCGCAGCCACTGCAGCTTTGTCCGGAAGAACATTTGGCTGTCCAGTTTAATTAGCATATTATGCTTTCATTATTATAGATTATATTTGGTTCTTAAATATAATGTCTAGCTTCTCCCTAAAGTTCATGCCACTTGAACCCCTGCTCTATGGCACCATCACCTGAAAATTTAGTACATTATAAAGTTTCCTAGGATTAATCTTGACTATAGAAAACAGAGGTTTACAAAGCTACAGTCTTTTTTAAAAAAATCACAATTTCATTCTTAGCTAGTATACTGAATTTTGACAAAAAAGTACTGTATATTTTATATGTAAAATATTTATGTATATATACAATAAGCAAGACCAACATTGTTAGATTTATAAAAAAAATTAGAAAAAAGTAATCCATATATCTTTATAAAACTTTTGCATAGAAATATGCAAAATATGTGTTAGCAGTTATTATACACTTACTAAGTGACAGGTACAACAATAAACCTAAAGGCTATCATTCCATTTATTTTTTTACAGGTAAATAAATTGAAGGTAGGAGTCTATAAATTTCCCAAGGTTATACAGCCTGTAAGCAGTGGTCTATGCAAATTAGAACAGTCAATGCAAATAAAGGCAGTCAAACCCGAGAGCATAAGCTCTTAAGTAGCATACACTGTAGTGACCACACCATCTACATCTTTAACTAACTTACCTCAGAAACTCACTGTTGGGACTGAATTGTGTCCCTCCAAAATTCATACTTGAA